TCCCGTCCCCGGCTCTCTCCCCCGTTCCTTGCAAAACTCTCCATTCAGCCTGGGTTTGTTGTTGCAGTGCGTGCGCCTGGCGCGTGCCGGGCTCCCGGCTGAATAAACAGGCGGCGCGCGCGCTCCGGGCCCCGGTGGCCGAGCCCCGGGGTGGGGGTGGGGTGGGGTGGGGTGCGGAGGGGGGGGGGTGCAGCGTCTCGGAAAGCATCCACGGATCTGAGCATCGGTGTGAATGAGTGGAAAGGATTGTTTTTTTTGGAGGGGAGGGAAGCCCTTATGAAGAGTCTTTGGAGAACTTGGAACAAGAGGATCTGGGCAGGAAAAAGTAACCGGGAGCAGTGTGGAGGTTTGGGGAAGACTAGGGGTCTGGCTCCCCCGCCCCATGTTCTTCTCCCCCTGGTGTTTTTACTTTTAAGGCGTGGGGGGGGGTGTTCTTGGCTGACCATCAGAGCCCAAGCAAATATGCAATTGAATTTAGGAAGCTGGGAGGAGGCAGGCCCCGGGGAAGAAGACGCGACCCGGGGTCTCCTGCCGGCTCTCCGCAGCGCTGGGATTTTTGGTGAACCGTACTTGGGGAGCAGACGGGAGGGCGATAGAGGACTGGAGGAGCTTGCTTTCCTCTGTGCTTGTTCACAGAGCTGCCTGCTGGCGCTTCCGCAGCCTTGGCGCAACCTCCATCCCGCCCCGGGCGTGTGCCTGGCGGGCCGGTGGCAGGCGACTGGGAGCTGAGCCCGCTGGGACCTTGTGCTGGCGCCACGAGGGAGGGAGGGAGGGAGGGAGAGAGGGAGGGAGGAGGAGGCGCCCGCAGCCATCCCTTGGTCACTGGGACAGCGCCTGCCTGGGCGCCCTTAGAGGGCCCTGGGCCTGGCACAGCAGCACATCAACTTTTCCCCATGTGTGGCGAAGCTGCGCTCCCGGCAAAGCAGACCAAGCCTGAATGAATGAATGAATGAATGAATGAATGTTCTTGTAAAGGAGATCGTTTGGGGCGCACCTCAGGCAGGGTATACAGAGGCAAAAAACAAGTACAGAGCTAGCATCCCGTAGACCCGGTTGATCTGAGAGCTGAGTGCGGGAAGGATTGTGGTGAATTATCCGGCTAATCATTTCCAATGGAACACTCCTCCTTGTGGAGAGGGATCTTTCTAGAAGGTCCTGGGGATCACCCGGGAGCCCCGTGGGAGTGGCTGGTTATGAGCTATCTCAGAGCAGGAATCGTGATGAGCAGTTAGGAGAGGTGACCCCTCAGGTGCCTCACCTTCTCGGGCTCAGTTTCCTCTTTGTAGAATGGGTAGGTTTGAGAAGCACAGGTCCTAACTATGCTAACCATGCCACCCCCCAAAAAAGCTAGATACCCACACAGCCCCCGGACCCCACCGGAAACCATGCCAGCTCACCTCACCTGACTGCTGATTCCAGGAAAGAGCATGAGAGGCCTCAAAAAAAAATTAGAGCTGTCTTCTTTCTCCCAAATCATGCAAAGTAGAGTCATGCACCCAGCCTGGGATTCTTGCCCTTTCTGCCCACCCCCCTCCAACCCCAACCTCAGATCATTAGAGGAGGCTGGGTAAATGAAGAACTGTTCACACACACACACACACACACACACACACACACACACACACACACACACACACAATGTCCACCTGCCCCCATGTACTGCTTTTGTTTTTGTTTATTGAAAGAGTAGAGTGGAAGAGGAGAGGGCGTGGCTAATAATGAAATGCATTTTTCCTAGATGTTAAGTGAATTCCAGATGGCCCTCCTGATGGACTCCATTCTTTCATATTGGACATCAGTCCAGCATCCCAGCTCTCCTTCTATTGAATGTGTGTAATCTTGAACCATCTTTCTCCTACCAGCCTCAGTTTCCTGATCTCCACTGGAGGGGTTTGCACCAGCTAATTTTGACAGCTGTATACAGGAGAGCAGAACAATTGCTGATAGCCAGCACATATTGGTGATGTGAGCTCCTCACAATGCAACACAGAAAGATTAATACTAGGGACTTACATTCCCTCCCCCCCCCCCGCACTGCCCCCGCACTATAAGCAGCTAATGGAAGAGTCTAGTGACACTTCCCTTTGTATGGACTCTAGCTTGGAGAAACTACAACAGGCATTAAGAATCCTTCCAACCAAAGCCACAAAAAGTATATCTCCATTTTCCAGATCCAGGGCAAAATTGCTCCCAGTTCTCTTTACCTTACCATATCTTTGAGCTAGATTGTACTTAGCTAGTCTTTATCTATCTTCAGCACAAAGGTCTAACTGGGAGTGGGGGAGGCTTTCCTAGTGATCCTGAGACCTTGGTGCTCCTCCTCCAGGAAACCTAGAGGGTTTGCTCCCAGCTACTTTTCTGTACTTTCTACAGCCCTAAGTCAGAGCAGTTTAGAATTGTCTTTAGGAAGTTTACACCTCTGTTCTTGGAGACGGTACATTACCCAACAGTTTTCCTCTGAAATAAATTCTCTGGTTAAGTTTACTTTTATTTTCTTTAGTTATGGTAACTTCCCATAGTTTTTGGCAAGAGAATGTGATTTAAGTTTGAAGCAAAGGACCAAGACTTAAGAGCCAGAATTAGAATACTGCTTCTGACCCTGTGACCTACATAATCACACACACAGACACAGACACAGACACAGATAGACAGACAGATACACACACACACACACACACACACACACACACACACACACACACTCCTGAAAGAACAGCTATTGACATCGACACTGTGTAGCCTTGAGCACATGGCTTTCATTCTGGGAGTCTCAGTTTTCTTCCCTCTGTGCTGTGAGATAATTATAGCACCCATCTATTGGAGTGGTGATATTTCAATGTACTGCAGGTAGAGTACCCAAAGCTAGATCTAAATAGGAAGAAAACCATGAGGAAATCATTGTTATCCAGCCCACCCAGGAGAGGATTTGTATGTGGAGTGATGGTAAGGTTCCTATCACTACCATGGAATACCTGAGACAGTTTATAAAGAGGAAAAGGTTGTTTAGGCTTTCAGGCCATGATCAATTGGGTCGATTTCTTTGGGCCTGTGTATAGCAGCACATCATGGACAGAGTTCAAATGACTCACTTTTTGGCAAGGAAGCAAAAGAGCAAGAGAAAGGGGCTGAGAGATCCCACAATCCCCTTCAGAGGTACACACCCAAAGACCTAAAGACCTCTCACTATGCCATCTCCTAAAGACACCACCCTGGAGATGAGACTTGTGGAACATTGGAGATCCAAACTACAGTAGATGGAGAGACTCAGCCATTGTCTTCTTGGAACCACACTGTGATAATCACTCCAGCCAATGGAAATACAGTGCTACCATGACTCCCTCCCTGCCTAAGCACTGAGGGATGAATACTTCTTTTTTCATTTTAAAGAAAGCTTGTGATCCTGGTAAATCAGTGATAGAGATGAGAACCACATTGTGTGTATGTGTGTATGTGTGTGTGTGTATAAGTATTGGTTCTGGTGCTTGAACTCAGGACTTGGGCACTGTCCCTTAGCTTTTTTGTTCATGGCTGGGGCTTGAATCATAGCTCCACTTCTGGCTTTGTGTTGGTTAAAAGGAAATGTATCCCCTAGGCTTTCCTACCTGGGCTAGCACCAAACTTTGATCCTCTGATCTCATCCTCCTGAGTAGCTAGGATTATAGGCATGAGACACCAGCTCCTGGCTTTAGAACCATGTGTTTTTACATGAACAGTAGCAAAGAGATGAAATACAGACAGGCTCTGTGAACTTCCCATGGAAGTGGCTGCCAGCAGAGCTAGTGGCCTACTCTTCCACAATGCCTTCCTGGCCACCAAAGAGGCTTTTGCATTTTTCTAGCTAGAAGATGCAAGGCAGTGTTCTTCCTTGTGATGGGAGAGGACAAGAGATACTGACTACCTCATGCCCTTCATCCCCATACCAGGTGACTATCAGGTAACATAAAGACATTTCAGAAGAATAGAGAAGTTTAACTTTCTCTTTTAATACAATAAGGCACTTAATGTCCACAGCT